CCCCTAAATCTCGAATAATTTACACAAATAGCCACTTTTTTGGCGGCGTCTTAAGAAATCGACCACTATTTCAAAATGAGATTACTTGTGTGAAGTTTGAAAGTAGCCAAGGTTCAAAACTAGTAGTAATATTTAGAGCATGGGACTAATTTTGAAATGTGGTCAACTTTTAAATAAACCACAAAAGTGGTCATCGGATGTAAATTCAACATGAAACACGTGGAATTTTATTTTTTTTGGAAAGATTTGAATATACGATCTTCATTACTTAATTATATTATGTTTAAACAATCGCTCCTTTCATGTAAACTTGATTCTTTTGCATGAGTCAAACGTAGATTTACACAAATAACCACTTAGTGATAGTCACTTCTTCAAAATTAGACAAGTAGTCAGAAGTCAAAATTCAAAACTATTTATATATTCATAGTACATATCTAATTTTGAAAAAGTGGTCAAATTTTAAATACAAACCAAAAAAGTTGTCAATTGGTTTAAAACTTTAAATTCATTCTCAAACACATGGAAATATTTCGTTTACTTTATAGATGGCAATAAGATTTAAACTTACGACATTTTTATTTGCACTAATATCATGTTGAATTATGTAACAGGGTTGCGATGGCTCGGTATTGTTGGATGATACAGTGACATTAAAAGGAGAAAAGAATGCTCCAAACAACAAAAATGCATTAAAAGGATTCAAAATTATTGATAGAATTAAAAATAGAATTGAATCTGAGTGTCCGGGAACTGTTTCTTGTGCTGATATTCTAACTATTGCTGCTAGAGATGCTGTTCTTCTGGTAATTATATTCTTGGAATTTTATTTATGATAATATATAATATTATTAAATTATTAGTTTTTAGGTTTCTTTGGTTATTATTTAAATAAAATAACCATAATATGAATAAGGGTCGTTTGGGTTCGTATACAGTTAAATCTTTCTATAACGACGTTGTTTGTCTAGAAATGTTGTTAGAACATATAATATATATAACATCACAAAAAATATTAGTTCGGATAAAAACTTGACCGTTATAGTGAATCTTATTATAGAAGATGACTGTTATGTAAAGGTCTGACCGTATGCATAACTATAAAATGCATTTTTTTTGTTACATTATATTCTTGGAGTGTTGTTTATGGTATTATTAGAATATTAATGTTTAGGTTTTTTAATTATCATCATAGGAATAATTAAAGTTGTATTAATTAATTAATGATTTTTTTAAAATTAATTTGTGTACTAGGTTGGTGGACCTTATTGGGATGTTCCATTAGGTAGAAAAGACTCAATAAAAGCAGGATATGAATTGGCAGATACAAATCTTCCAACAGCTGATGAAGGATTAATTTCTATTATATCTAAGTTTATATCACAAGGACTTTCTGTTACTGATATGGTTGCTCTGTCTGGTAAGCATTCTTTAATATATATAATCCTCCGTGTCAATTTATATGACACAATTCGTGTTCGATAGTAAAATATGTGATTTATTCATATGCTTTTTAAATTTTTAATTCTTGTGACTTTTTGTATGTATAGTTATTACGTAGTTTCTATATATGAAAATTATTTTTCAAAAATCTTAAAGAATATATGTTTGAATTTACAATCAAAATAAACAAAACACTTCAACTTATAAAATAATCATTTAGACACCTCTAAAATTTTATCCGTCAGATCAACGTCAGGTGTCTACGAGACACAACAAGGACGAGTTTGAGAGTTTAGTTGTCAATTCTGACCAAGTTAACGTGTACTAGATATACACTTTCAAAGTTGGAGTACTGCTAATTAACGAGGACGAGTTGGACTGTTTAGTTGTTAGTTGAGACTAAGTCAACGTGTCCTAGATATACACTATCAAAGTTGGAGTACTGCTAATTAACGAGGACGAGTTGGACTGTTTAGTTGTTAGTTGAGACTAAGTCAACGTGTCCTAGATATACACTATCAAAGTTGGAGTACCACTAATTAACGAGGACGAGTTGAAGTATTTAGTGGTCAGTTGAAACTTCAATCGACTTGTCCTAGATATAAACTTTCAAAGTTAGAGTAT